TATGTTGTGTATATGTTTCTGCGTGTATGTGCGTGTATTCTTGTGCATTTGAGCAAATTTCTGCGTTCCAAACGCGTAAAAAGAGGACGTGTTCTTTGGGATGATGAGTAACGGCCATTAGAATTACCGGGTTCCCTTAGTGGGGCCTGTTTTGGGTGATTTTCTACAGATTTTTACGGGATTTTTTTTTTTTTAGGAGTTTCGGTTCCTGTGAAGCAACACTGCCAGGAAGCATCTCCTGCAGCTGTGTGCTCCTTTCGAAGCTGCCTTTTTCCAGACAGCGGAAGGAGCATTGCGCGTAGCATGGCATGTCAGTCCGGAATCAGAGGTTCGTTTTTTCCAGCCCTTACGCTCTTTTTTGCTGTTCATCTCACTGTGCACGTCACGCACTTCTCTCGTTCGTTCTTGCAGCAAGTGATAAACTGTTGCGATTTTTCAATGAATGCAAATCCGGGAAGATAAGATTGGCAAAGATTGTCGTTAGGAATGGTACTGCTTCAAATTTCTTTTTCTGCTTCTGATTGCTTCGGTGAGTTGCTTGCTCTGGCAGGATGCTGTTCGTTTGTTTCAGAAGAGCTCTGTGTCAATTTCCAAGACAAAGGGACTGCTGATTGGCGAGCTGATTTCAAGCGCTATCTGCCGGACTGTATCGATGCGTTCGAGCCGTGCTATGTGCTGTTTCGCATTGGTGATACCGACAGCAGCTGGCTTCTTATCAGGTAATCATTTTGACACGCATTTTTCTGCTTCAGCATCGGTTCGTAGTCTCACGAGTACAAATCAGTCACGTGACTGTCCACTAGATGACGAGTAGGTGGGGCTATACTGATGATTCCTGTCCCAACCCGCACGCACAGTTCTGTATGTGTATTTACAGCAAAGGGATGAAACACAGACTGCATCTCAATACATCTTCATGCACATGACACTTGCACCAATCCCTTATCTCATATTTTTATGCGTTTCTTACAGCTATGCAATGCAGAAAACGCATACTGACAAGGGGTTGTCTGTGTGTATGTTTATGTCTGTGTTTTCGTCTGTACCGATTTTTCATTTCGAGACCCACAAAAGCTGCAGGGCTGAAACTTGAGGAACTCAATCTACATGCGTGTATGGGCCTCCATGCCCAAAATAGGCGCTCTTACCCGCGTGGTACCCACGTACGGGCCCGCCAAAGTTTTTTACGGGCAAGCTGCTAACTCGGAAACTAGAGAATCCGGGAAACTGAAATTTTGAGGGAATGTCCCCCATCCAAGTATGTGTTAGTGAGCTCAAACCCAGCCCCCGGGTATGCGTGATACTCACGTAGGAGTCTGTGAAAATCTTTTTCGCGTAAGTCGATAACTGGGGATGTGAGAAGCTAGAAGGCTGAAATCTTAAGGGGGGTATCCCGCGTCCAAGTAGATATTAGTGAGGTCAAACTCAGCCCCCTGGTAAGCGTGGTACCCAAGTACAGGCCCGTGAAATTTTTTTTTCGGGTAAGTTGTTAACTTGGGAGCCTGCGAAGCTAGAAGACTGGGTTTTTGAAGGGATGTTTCCTGATAGTCCTGGCGGCCAGTCTGAAATTCTCTTAGCTAGAAGCATCTGCCGAAAAAACCAGTGCCGTTAGCGACAAAAATCCGCGGGGATCTGTGCAAAAAACGCATCCTCGCACGGGCAGCCCGTGCGTTGGCCAGTTGTTACTATTTCACACTAGCCTCATTACACTGTTCTCCTTACAGATTTTCTATATAGGATCGCACCTATGCTTTTGCCGGAGGAGTTTTTTCAAATGCCTACGTGGATGCAACCTCGAGGCGAAATGGCTTTGTTGCTCTTTGTTGGGTATCATTGTTGTTTTTGCAGTGAAATTCCCTCCGACTTTTGAATACGTCTCATTCTCTGTTCCTTTTTGTCCATCCGTCTTTCTTAAGAGTTGGACGGTTCAAGTAAAAGGAAAGGGTTGTGAGCCTTATTTTGCTTGCTGTTCTAATTTCTCGTTCATATACGCGTAACCTGCGGGCCGCAAAGGTTGGCCACTTAAAATTAGTCTGGATCGTGCTCTTGACGATCCTGATTTATTTTCTCACGTCTGTCGGAATCCTGCTCCCTATTCTCACTCCTGTAACTTTAGAAAATAGGAGATGTATCTGATGTTATTTCGTCTAAGTTAAACACAGTTATTTGTAGTTTTGCTGATGATCGTGCTCCCGTTCGAGAAAAGATGGTTTTTGCTGCAACACGAGCCACTTTCAAGTCCGAGTTTGGGCAGTCGAATATTAGGTTCTGTTCTTCATACAGTTCATGTGCAGCTTGTGTGTTGCCCGTTGCTGCTGCGTTACCATATCACGTATAGGAAGTACTTCAAATGACGTCAAACATGAATCGCCTTGACAAGATGTGATGTGTTTTTTGGCAGTCCTTTTATATGAGTATGGCTGTTTTTGTTGCATCTGAGAAGCAGTGCTTAAGTGGATTTTGTTAATTGTTATTCAAAAAAATTTAGGCACGAATATCACGTTACGAACAAGAAGGAGATGACGCTGGAAGCGTTTGAGAGATGGATTTTTGGCAAGGAAGAACCGGGGCCGATGTCCGAACTGGAAAAGGAGATGCACTGTGCGCAAAAGGAACAAAAAACAGTTATGCCAGCATCCCAGACCGTCAAAGGTGTTCATTATTTTTGCTGCTCTTTTTCTCGTTTACTGATCTGTAGATGCAGGCTTTTTTGTGCAGTCATGGGTAGAGTGCATTAGTGTTCGTATCGGAAAATATTTGGTTTTTATGAGTTATCCGGATTACAATAAATTCTGCTGATCACATAATGCTCCTCTGTCAGAGGTTTTTTGGCACCTAGTTGATTTCCAATGACTTTTTAAAAAGTTGTTGCATTGTTACTTACTCGGAAGGATGTCAAGCACGGAAAATGGCTCAAGAAATTTGATGAATGCGATAATCAGGTGATATCAATGTATTTTGCATGTCAGGTGTTTTCTTCCCGGTAGATCAGGATGCCGAAGAAGAGCTGCGAAAGTTGGCTAATCACGAAATAAATTATGTTCAGCTGGCTGTTGACACACTCAATGAAGCTATCAAATTGGAGTCCTCGAGAATTCTGAATTCTGCGGATGAACTGAAAGAGGTTAATTTTCAGCTTCTGTTCCTAGTGAAGAGCTGTTCTTTCTATCTCAAGTTTGTGTAGTGAGGTGATGAAATTTTGCTTTGTTTTGATTGGGCCTGGGTCGGCTGCTGCACCTTTTCTACGCTGTAACGGCGTGGAGTGGACATTTCGCTTCTTGCGCCTTTGTTACTTTTTCCCGATAATTTGGTAGGCTTGCGACAATCGTGGCAAATAGCTGTTAGTGCAGCGTTTGAATTGGGTAGTCTGCAGATCCCACTAGCATCACTCCCAACTTTAAAATTGTGTATTTTACCATGCTGATAATACAGGAGGGGTTTGGTGGCCCGATTTAAAGACATTGACTTGGACATATTTATGTAGAATTTTTTTGTATATGACTTCCATGTCATTTCGGTGCGCTGTGCAACGTCCATTTTCATTTCCTCGGATGGTATGGTAGCGGTTTTTTCTTGCACTGCTTAAATCTCTGGTTCTTTTGAACTGCTTTTATTTTTCTCCAAGGGGGTTTACAATTATCGAGATCTTCTTTTAGCTCCATCTGATGTACCTGCAAAGAATGGTGCTCCATGCCTTGAGTTTTTTTTTTTGCGTGTTCTATTTTCTGACGTCATTTTCGTAGCTGTGGAGTCCTTCGAATCCGACCTGCAAGATCGGATTCATTCGACTCATTTTGCGCACTCTAAGAAGCTTGTTAACAAGGTGTTTGCAGTTCTGGCCGGTAATAGCCGTCATAGTCCAGTTAAAATTCCAAGCTAATTGCTTCAACTCCTCTCTCTCTACCGATCTTACTGCGGAGGTGTTTTATTATCATGTATCTCGTGATAATCAAAGACATTAGAAGCATTGACGTACTACCAGTAGTCTTGGATATTTAAAATATCTGATAAATCGACTAACTTTTGCACCTTTTTCAGGTAATACCTCGAGATAAGCCTCGCTACCATTTCTTCCGCTTTTCGCACAAATTCGATAATGAAGATTACAACACTCTCTGTAAGTCAAGACTTCTGTATTTCTTGATGGTATTTCAGTTGAAGAGTCAGTTTTTTGGAAAATAACTGTGAAATTTGGAAGGATTTTGGTACAGACCAGTAATTGTGATCGCCCAAGAAATTGCGCTGCATGTATTCTATCATTGTAGCTGTGAAGTTATCGATCACAACTTTCAAGATTTGTTTTGTTGTCTTGCGGGTTCTTGTTCTGTCTTTTTCTCCTTTCAGCTCATGCACTTT